AGCTGGAAGCTTCCCTTAAAGCAGCGTCCACTACCACTGTCCTGCGAACAAGCAAGGACAGCCTGTGAGAACATGACAGGTAACTCTCTCCCTTTTTGCTGCTACCTGTTGGCTTCCCTATAGTTGCCACAGCACAGATTGCTGTATCTCCACCTTGCAGCAATGCCTGCCTTCTCTGGGGAGCATGGGGAGTCTGGGCTGTTTGGAGAAGCAGAGATGAACTGCAGATGTAATGAGACAGGCACAGAGTGGCACATGTACACCAGCAGCTTGGGGGACAAGCACATGTCAGCTTCCACTCTTGGGTACCTTCACCCTGTGTAGTATCATTGCGTGCAATATAGGAGTAGGTTTTTACACAGTGACGAGAGGCAGCTGCCTTTTATGTCCAACGCAGGGTATTTGCAGACCATATTGGCTATTCTGATTTCCTGAAAACTGCTGCATAGGTAGTGTGTTTCTTTGCTTTATCAATTAAAAAAGCATCATTTTAGTGTACCATCCAACTACTGAAGCAGTCATGTCGTTGGGACTACATGAGGACTTCCTTAGCATGCTTTCTTCCATATTTTCTTTTCTGCAAAAACATGTATGTCCTTTGTGCCTGCCATCTGAGTGGAGTTAGTAAAGGGACAAAACGATTATCAGACCGCAAGCTGGAGAACATTGATGATGAAGCTGCTGCTTTGGAGTTTAGAAGGGTGTAATTTTAGCAAAAGCGTGAAGGTATTTTTACCTGCAGCCTCACTCATCCTCAACTGTTAGACCTTTTTTAAAAGGTGACTACAAATTTAATTTTGCGATTTTGACATTTTTAAGTTATTTCTATTTTAGCAATATATAAATATGAATTATTTGTGTTCCTGACAGAATTTTCTGGCTGTTCCAGGTAGATTTTGTTTGTAAAGGATCTACCCCATTTCTTCAAACTGTGTGTCCTTTGATGGCTTTGGGAGTCTAGCGAGCTGTTACATGCACTCCGACACTAGATAGTCACGATCAATACAGCTTTTGAGTTACCTTCCTTTTTTAGATAGGATGGTCTGATCTAAGGTTTTCTCAGCACCTGGATATTTAGTGTTTTGTCCTTTTCTGGCACAAAGAGAACAAAATCATGGCTTGTCTTGATTCTTAACCATGTATTTCAGTCTGTCTCTGCTAGATCGGGCAGGTGGAAGCATGCCCCAATCTAAGCAGAGCTGGCTGGTTGTCTAGGTGGCACTGTTGGAGCACCACCCACTACCTGAGTAAACCCCGAGAAGGGTCTCCGTAAAGGTTGACTTAATGCATCTCTTCAATTATTGTAGTCAAGGTGAAATTTCATGGTGAAACTTTCCTGACTCACTGTGAGCTGAAGAAGCCTTTAAAAATGATGACAGCAAGCAATATGCCAGCTGTTTTATCCACCTCATTGTGGCTACTGGCAAAATACTAGGGAGCTGCTGTTTTGAAGCTGCGTGTAGATGGTGGTTGGTTGGGGCTGAGCATTGGGTCACTCGTGGGTTTAAATGTTTATAGAGGCCCCTGGCAGGCAGCGAATGTGGACTGTGGTAATGCCAGGCTCTTTCCTAGCACTCATCACAAATAATCCCAGAAGACCACAACAAATATGTATTGATTTAGTCTCTTTTACCAGTAGACTAAGCTGCAGCAAGGCTGTTTGCTCAAGTACACACAAGGTTCGTGCTGGTTCTGCTACGAGCACTCCATATTCTTCCTCCTAAGTTGTTGCTTGAACAACCCTACCATTGAACTATCTGTTCTTGACCTTAATGCAAAGGGAAATATTAAACTGACTGGTTAGGAAAGTCTTTCAGAAGAATTGCCAGTAACAGAGTATCTGATTGCCTAACCTTAGAAGCGTGAGGTACCAGCCAGGTTTTTGTTTGATGGACGGACAGGAGCCCCAGGCAGTTCTGGAGTGATGAAGACTAAAGCAAATATGTTCTTAGTGGTGTGAGCACAGCAGATGCCTCCTGGAAGCGTGACTCTGGACAGCCTCAGAAAGCCTGGAGGGGCACATACGACCTTGTGCCTTCATGCACATCTGTAGGCCAGGAGAAGCACGGAGCTACGCTCGCTTGCAGGACTGGGCTGGTGTTGGCCACGCTGCCTCCAGCCGCCTTCCTGACTCATGCTGCAAACAGGAACGAAGCTCATCTTTCCACGAGCCCAACGCCTTGACCTCCATGTGACATTACCATTACCATTCCACACCTTTTGGAAACGTGGCCAGGACAGTTACAAGGGCTGCTCTGTCAGGATGCACTTGTTAAGTGTATTGCCCTTGAGAGACACACGCTGTCCTTTTTCGAGACAGCTTAACTCTGAAATTACTTCGCTCATTTGAGCTTTGCTCTTTCTGTAACTCAGGTTGTCTGTGTGTCTAATAGAAAGAGCAAGACTTACCTAATGTCAGTAAATTGCTTTGATATTTGGGTTAAAGGTGCTCAAAAATGCAGGATTAGTAAGAGAGGGCATTTCAAAGGCACTAAGATGACTCGGGTAGATGACTCCCATTTGTGCCTTGTAAAATGTGTTCTGCAAATGTTACCAATTCACACATTACTGTGGACATCCAGGGTGTGTGGAAAAAGTAACTGTGCGTTTCCACAACTTCTGTTTGGTTTTTACTGTCCTGTTCTTATGAATACTAGGAAACAGTGAATCAAATGTGTTTATTTGTAACAGTAAACCTCAGTGAAGCTGTCTCGGTATAAAGCAGGTTACTGTATGCCTTCAGGAGGTTGATAAGCACTGAGAGAAAGGCAGCAGCTACTGGAAACATAGTATCTTAGTTTGATACAGCACCTCATGGGTGCTGAGGGAAGTGCAGAGTGTTCTGGGTTTAATTTTGTCTTTTGCTTGCGCTTTCCTCCTTCTGTTGGCCAGTGAGGAGGCCCTTTGAAGCCCTTTGAAGCCACTTAGCTCTTGTCTTTGCAGCGGTGATTCAGTATTTGTGTGAGCGTGAAATGTGACCTGAGGTTGGGCTCTATCCTGCGCTCTTCAGGAGGGAGGAGGAGGACTGCAGGTCTCCCATCCATCCTCTAGTGCCTGTTTGCAGAGGGAGGCATCTGTGTGGCTATGCTTCAGAAACGTTCCTCTTTTTATAAATACCTCATTCAATAAACAGAACGAGCAGCTGCAGTGTGGTTCGATGGTCTGAGCTGTGGATGGCAGCAGGAAACCCTGGGAAGTGGCAGGTCTGGTTGCGAGTGGCTGGCACAGGCACCAGCTGTGAGAAGGGGCAAATGGGCACTGAGACAGCCGAATGGGCACGGGGAGCTGCGCCTCGCTGGAGCGGGGAGCGTCGCATCAGCATTTCAGGTCAGGGAGGGAGTTGCTTCAGTTGAAAGCAGAGTCATGTTTTGTAGCTCCACAGGTGCATCTTTCACCACACTCCTGTTTGTTCACTAAGAAAAACTAAATTCAGATGAGCTAATGGGTTGCTGTTTCCTGGGCAGTGATGAGTAGAGAGAAACTGAGTAGAGAGGAACCGAGTGGACACAGTAAGGTGTCAAAGGTCTTTGTGGGAGACTGGAATATGACTGAACCTGGTTAAAAGATACTGAGCTAAAAGCCATGGAGGCTGTACTCGCAGAAAGAGCATAGCGGTGGTGGAGGGAGCCAGACCTGTGTAAACCCCGAATAGTTGGAATAGCTTATTCTCCACATGGCATCAGTCTTCTCTGCCATCGCTGTCCAGACGTTGAGGTGAAGCTTCTGGTTCTGCATGAGCTCCCGTGCAGCAAGCTTATAGCAGCACCTGGGGCCCGAATGAGCCAGGCTTGCTTGCAAGTGATGGCTGAGAGGTGCAAGGCTTTCTAGGTGTCAGTGTCTCACTTCTTTTTGGACATGTCACCTCGTTTGCCTGAAGAGTTTTGTGCCTTGGTACATTTAGTTATTTACGCATGTTGTACAACCCTCTCCTTCCTTTGTACTCTGCTGCAAGTGCTCAGAAATGAAGGTAGCTCCTTTTACTTCTCTGTGAATGTGGGTGTAAATCCATGTTGTTTGCACTGCCGTCATTAAGTGTTGGTTTTGGGGAATAACATGCATTGCCTTCCAGGAAGCGTGTGATAATGATTTTTTTATGCTCTCGTAAAATTGTGGCTATGTTTATTTACAAAGGGTGTAATTTGTGCTGTGATTGGAATACAGGCTTAGAATATGGAAGAATTTTCCCATCAGATCAGATGAAATTTCAGTCTTAAATTTCTTGGCAGGCGTTTTCAGAAATAAAAACCTAACAGTGACAATTATGAAACTAATGCAACATTCACAAATTGCCCTTTAACTCTGACTGTCCCTGCCTAGCTGCCTTCTGTATGCTGGCTGACTTACTTGGTTGCGAGTTAAACTACTTCAAGGAAAGTGCAAATAAGTAGTTTAGGCAAGAAAAAAAAAGGTGCTACATTACTTGATGGTAAATAGAGAAGTTTTTAGAGAGAGTATGGTTTTCTGCAACAAAGACAAATCTAGTTGCTTAATGTTTTTAAAATGCTGTGGAGGAGTAAAGTGTTAAATACTTAATAAATGTGCTCAGGTCATGACTGATTTGTTAGCGTAAGATTAAGTGGTTTTGGCACTTTCTGTAGCAGTACTCACGTGCCTGTCCTGGATCTGCTGTCAGATTTTCACCGACAGAAAACCCTCAGAGTCTACCTGCTTGTGTGTCACTTCCCTTTCATTCCCCGACAAATTTCTGAGAAAACCCTTGGAAACTTCATGGACCTTTTGAAAATTAAACCCGTCGCCCAAAAAAGCCATTCGGGCCCCGGCAGCCGCGCCAGGCAGCACGTCCCCCACACACGGACAGGCTGTGAGCTCGGTGGCTCCCTGGGCAGCCGGGCGCATCACCATGCTGCTCGCCTTCACCACGCACACGCTTCCTTCCTTCCACCCACTTCCCCCTCCCCTGCCTCGGTTTCACACCTCTGTTCCAAAGTTCACGTTGTCCTCTCTCTTCTTCCCCTCCCCCCCCCCTTTCTTTTTAACAGCAGGAAAGAATTTCGTACACACCTCCAGTGAGCCCGGTACCAAATTACGCTTCCTCGTCACCACTACATGTCCCAGTGCCTCAAGCGATCAGGATGGAGGAAGACACGATCAGACTGCCGGCACACCTGCGTGAGTGTCAGCACGGACGCTTCTCACAGCCTTGGATGGAGGAGGGTGCGGGGTGGGGTGAGGAGGTGTTTGTTGTTATGGAAGAGAACAGGGAAGGCCCCTGGCTTTAGACTTTCGTTTTTTTAAACTCTAACTGGTTGAATTTTTCAAAATACTCTTTTGAACCAAAGGAAATTACTCTTAAATACAGTACATTTTATCTCCTCTGCCCCCATCCCTTGCACCCCCTGTCAAAGATTTGGCTTGTTTCTCATGATGGGAACTGTTCTGTTTCCTTCCACAGTATAGGAATTGCTCAGCGATGCGCTGCGACACAAAATCAGAGTTTCACAAACTGTGACAAGTGGGGAGTATTTGGGCTGTGGGGATTTTTCAGGTTGTTACAGGTCTCAATATCAAATACTCTACCACAGAGGGTGTGTGCTGACAGAGGCAGTGGGAAAGGCGGGAGAATGAGCTTAGCTGTGCACAAAAGGATGCTGCGAAGGAGGAAGGGCACATCACTGACACTGGAACAAAAGCTGGAGCTGGGCGCTTCCTTGCTGAAATGATTTAATGTTTGAGGAATAGGAAAGGCCAAGGGCTGCTGGCGAGCAAGAGGTGAATTAGTGAGATAGGATGGGGACAAGGAAGAGTGGAATTTTCCTCTTTGGAGGGGAAGCAGGTCTGATGTAAATCAAGAGGTTTTAAGTAAACTTTTGTCAGGTGTTACATTCCTGGGGTACTTGAGTGACAGGGAGCAACAGGGACAGGAGCAGACGTAACTTTGTGCAACTTTGTGTGTTGCCATCTGACAAATGGGTTTGGGATTGCAGAGGGAGAAATAAAGAAAGGCCATGTTTATCACAAGACACTCTCGTTCCTGTCCTCGGCTGTCTTCCAGGCACTCTCCTTTTCTGGATGCAAACTGTGCTCTCACTGCTGTAATCCTGTGCATGCTCCCTTGCTGGCCACCAAGTTGCACTGCCCCAGTATCCAAGATTGCCCACGCTGGGTGCTGTATGATCCTGGTTTTACCTCCTGCTGCCCTTTAGTCTCTTCTGCCTGTGCTGTAGTGTAGCCTAGTTCTACCTTTCCTGTGCTTTCTGACAGGAATGGGATCTGGCGCTGCAGAATTTCTGACCACCTGGTCACAGCCTGAGTATCCCCAGCTCCCAGGCCCTGCTTGCCCATGTGTGTGGCTGCTGGCCTCTTTGCCCCAGCCTGGGGAGGACTTGCAGCCACGCTTACAGGGGATTTCTGTGCTTTGCCCAAAACTTACATGCAAAGAAACCAGCACAGAAGCAGTTCTTCTCCATCACTTCTTTTCCCCACTGTGGTTTTTAATCCTTGAGATCTTTTTTTTCTTTTTTTCCCCTCATTGCATTGGTTGGTACTATTTACTAGTGCTGTGGGAGCCACTGTCTGTCCCCTCCACAGCTCGGATCATGGGTGTCTTTCCAGTTACTGCCTTCCCCACTGGGTCTGCCAGACACCCAAGGCGGGAAGGCAGAGACCCTTGGTATGGGCAGGGGTGAGGCACTGTGTTTGCTACCTGCTTTCTTCCTATCCGCTAGCCAGCAGGCTGGGTAGTGTGACGCTTTTAAGGTTTCCTCCCAGTGAAGACTTCTTATCCAGCATTTTTTGGTGTGATCCAGCCTTTCACCTTGATCTTTGTTTTGGTTCTTCTTTTCTTTAATAATTGGCACATTTTTAAACTTGCAAGGAGGCTTCTTTCCCATTAGTATTTCCACACCAGTCTGACTTGTAGTGCAAAAACAGAGACGATTAATCATTAAATGTCTGTGGAACAGTCTTCTGCAAAGCGAGTGTCTCAGGTCATAAACAACACGGAGCATGTTTACAGAGCATTAGTAGTAGTAGTCTCCTAGCAGTATAGTATTCTGTAGCTCAGCATGCAGTCAATATTGACCCAAACACTGTTAGCAAACAACTTACCCAAACGCTATTAGAACCACTGTTTAAAGTATACAGATGCATAGCTGCACCAGAAGGAACCACGGTGAATTCCTAGAACCATCTCTGGTGTAACTTCAGTTACAGACCTTCACTCAGTAACGGCTGTGGTTGGGCCCAGTAACTGAGCTACAGCATGTTATGCAGAAAGATTTCTGTTCTACATATAGACTTCAGTAACAGGGAGGATATAAGGTCTCTAGATGTTCTTTCAATGCTTAATTATCCTCCTTATTTGCCTTTTTTTTAAGTGCCCTATTTATAGTTTGAATTAGTCAAGCTTCAGTTTCCAACTATTAGATCTCATTATCTCCTTTCCTGCTAAATATTGTCAAAAGTCTACTCCTGATATAGGTGCTTTCAGATAAAGTCACTTCTTAACCTTTTCTTGGCTAAACTGGATGGGAAGAGAGGTTCTTAAAGCTGTCAATCTTCTTATAAAGCTTCCAGATTTTAAATTATGTTTGTATCATCTCTCTGAACTGTTTCCCACTTCAGATGTCCTTCTTAAAGTGAGGACAAGAGAACTGAAGACCATATTCCAGGAGTAGTCTTCCTAATACCAGGTACAGAAATAACTAAGCTCCTTTTGGATCTTGGGTCGTGACATTTAAGAGGTGTTAACACGGGATTTTGCGATTCCTGCATGGACCCCTCTCATTTTTAATTTTTTTTTTTGAGAGATGTGTCTGAGAGACAGCTTTGATCCTAAATCCCGAGGTAGAGCTAATTTCTAGTTCAGGCTGTGTGTGAAGATTGGATTTAGAACTGCAAAGTCTGAGGCTTTTCTAGGTCTGAGATTTTGTTTGGTTCCAGCCTTATTGTTATTTTTGTTGATTAAGTGAAGCATAATAACTTTCCAGTCCTCACTCACTCCAGTGCGACAGGGAAATAGAGTAAATTTCTCCAGTCACACACAGGGCTGATAGCTTGTCAGGCCTCCACTCTCTGTTTCCATGACATTCTGATGGTATTTAGCGAAATAAAGGCAGAGTTTGTTCCTAAACTGTCTGTCTTCATTTCTGCCAGCTTGCAAGTTCAAGAGCTCTTCTCCAGGTGCAGCTGAAAACAGCAGTTGGCCCAAGCGAAAGTAGCACTAGAGACAAACACCTCAGATGAACCCTGAGGTGCACTCTGTGGATTCAGACAGTGTTTTATGCCTTCCTATTAGAAATTTCACTGTTTCTGATGTTTTAAGAGCACTCTGAAGGTGCTAATAGCCAATAGTATTGGGACAAGTAGTAGAGCAATTTCCTTTGGTGTGCAATAAATTATTTCTCACTGTTTGGTGAGCAAATGGGTCTCAGCTATGCTGAGCTGATTTGATCCAGAGCCTGGAAAAGGGAGAAGTGCAAAGTGTAGAAGAGAGAAATGCAGATCCTTCTTTGCTACAAGCATGTAGAGGAGGACTCCTTCTCTTTGGTCAACACAGCTAGAAGTATATAGAGAAATCCCTTTTTCTGGAGGTGATGTGAAGGCACCTTTCCCTTCTCACACAGCCTTTCTTGTTTTAATTAGCTGCTCTCTTCCCAGCCTGCCCTATTCCTATATTAGAGAAGTACGGTGTAATCAGTCTTAACTTTAAAACTCTGGGGTAGTCAAAATAATTTTCTGGTAATACACACCTTTCTCTGATACCACACTTCTCTGTAAGGGACTTCTGACCCATGGTTTTAAGCATATTTGTTTACCCAATATCCACTTCTCACCTAGTAACTGAGTACTGGGGGCATTGTAAACAAACTATCAGCAGGGAGCTGGAGAATACACTTTCCTCTATTTTAGATATGCAGTCAGAAAGTGCAGTGATCTCCAGTTGGCTCCTTCTCCCTGGTGTGGATGTGTATGCTGGGGTAGCTTTGCAGCATATCTGATCTCCAGTAGACTGCACTGATGCCGAGTAGAAAAAGCGTTTGGAAAATGGAGATGTTTGCCAAGGGTTGAAGAGAAGCAAGTTCAGCTCTCGCACAAGGCTCTGCCCTTGGTGCCTTCTGTGACCTCGGACATCTTGTTTTGGTTTCCTCACTGTAAAACTAAAAAAAAACCATGAGTGCAAAGACTCTGAAAAGTTGTGAAAATGAATACAGTGACTGCCCAGATATTGTGATAATGAAGAAAGCTGAGATAGGTGGAAGTCCTGAAACTATTTGCATAACCCGTTATCGCTGAGGAAACTGACTCCGTATTACCACAAAGAGAAAGTTTTCTCTTTCTTTTTTAATTAAAACCAATCTTTTTGTCTTGTCTGGTACAGTGTCATTAGTTACTCATTTTGTGCTATGGCCAAAACGTTGTGGTAAAAAGTTCTTGGAACTGGAGAGAGGATTCAGCATTTGAGAGATGGATATGACAACCCTTCCCTGTGTCTCTTAATATGCTCTGAATCAGGGGGAAAATAGCTTTTTCCTTTTTTGTAGTATGGGAGATGAAAATAAGGTGGTTTGCCTTCTACAAGAGCAGCTGTAAATATGTGCTAAAGGCTTGGTGGTTTTCTTTTGTCTTCTTCAACATAAAACTTCTTCAACAAGAGACACAGCAATACCAGCGCTGAAAAAGGACTTGTTGCACACCCTGATCCCATGCAGCAGCATTTCCCTTGCACATTTCTGTCGCGTTATACAGTCTGATTTTTATCTCTGAAGGGCATCTTCCCTTGGGAACGTGTCTGTGTTTGTTTAGGGAGATGGACCTCATGGGCAAAGATTTCACAGTGTTTTCTATTGATAGAAGCATGCACAAGAGTTCATTTCTTCCCCTGAACTAATTACTCTTCTTTCTTTAGTGTTGGCATCCTCCATATGCCTGCAGCCCATTGTCGTAGCAAGGAACACTGCACGTACTTCTCTGTATACATGAAGAAATTCTTCTTGGCAGCAACTCCCTGTTCTTGCTGTTGCTTTTTTCTGAGCCCCCAACAGCCTGCGCTGCTGTTCACAGTAAAACGACACACTCAGGGTGTCAGGATGCATACTTCACTTCACGGGGGGGGACTTTTAGATTGGGACTGCAGTGTTGTCATCTTGACTGCGCTCACTTTTTTGGGG